AGAGAGGTAAGGAAGGCCAGTAAGGGAATAAAGTTACTATTCAAAATGTACAACGACCTGACCAGAGAGCATGCATGCGGCGCGAAGCTTACAAGCGGAGGAGTATTCGTCACGTTAAAACAAATGCTACAGTAAAACAAACGTGACAAGATTGTCAAAGGTCAAGTAGTCAAGTACTTCAGCACAACTACACACTGTCCCAAATGTGATGGTGGGGATCTGAATGAAATTAAGTTCACTGGCGTTATTCAATTGCCAGCACTTCCAGTGTGAACGACGTTGGCGCTATCAAAATCAACACTTCCGTAGGCACGGAGCACTCGAAGTCTTGCGACCGATATTCACTACGTGTTTGACGATTATGACACATGGGTTTGGATGCGTCCATGCTATCGGCTGTAGCATCCTGCAGTGGGAGGGGAGGGGGGGGGGAGAACTGATTTGCGCGGGTATGTCGCATGAGCACCTAATGATCCCCTGGGAGGTGCGCATGGCAGAGGCAGTGTTTGCTCAATCTCCTGTCTCTCGTCCAGCTGCTTTAATTCCCATGCAAAACATATTTCATGACCGATCAATTTGCCTGATCGACACTGACCTTACTTGACACTGCCCTGCATCATTACTAATGCTCCTTTTCAAACACGACCAGTGATGGAACTCAAACCCGAAAGACGCATGTGTGGACTCCGTCTATCAGCATCGTATACTATGCTATCCCATATTCTGCAAAGCCTCACATACTCACTGTATTCTTACATATGAACATCAGTCAGGTTATGTCATACCCAGAGAAGACCGAAGAGGCTTTTGGTCGTAAGCAGTCATAGTGATGTGTGCATTGAGAAGAGGGTGATGTTGTGGTCGTCTGTCTGTGTTCGATGCTGACGCCAGAGATGGGGAGTGGCGCTATCTTTAGATGTAAATCAGGTCCGTTGCCACCCTTAATAGTCATACGACCTCCAGGTATTGTACTTTCTGGAGGGTGGAGTGCAGCTATCTTTAGATGGAAAGCAGACCTGTTGCCACCCTTAATAGTCATACGACCTCCAGGTAAATGTAGTGTTGGCAGAAATGTTCGATGCTGAATCGAGAGGTATTATAGGAATTGCAGTTTCGTGGGGGGTAGAGTTCTGGCAGAAGGCGGAAAGTGTAGCCAAGGTTCGTCTGCAGAGATGTCAGAACGAAACCGAAGGATGTATATTGCATCAGGAAGCGATGTTATTCCACTAGATGTCTGGATTTGATGCCCATGGGTATGTAAGTAAGGGACCCGTTGTTATATTACCTTGCTGGATTTTGACTGGAGTTCTAGCGTGCATGCGATCGGCAGTGATAAGGAGAGAGTGGCCTAATCGAAATATAGAAGAAATTGTCAGGCTCTGATTTGGAAGGTTACCAACCTACAGGGCAAATCTTAACACCCAGTCGACCCAGTGCGTGTGCGTGTATGTGGGGAGTGGCGGACATAAAGACAAGATGTAGCGCCTATCCCTGAATGTTGCATTTATGACAATCCCATTAAATGGAATCAGAGTCGGGTGGACGGCATGCCAAGCGACGGGTGTACGACGTGCTAGCCACATGCGCGCTCTCTCTCTCCCTCTCTGTAACCTCCGCTTTTTTTGACTTGGTCATGACACGGGGCTACAGGGAGAAGGAGGAGGAGGAGGAGGAGGAGGAGGAAGAGGAGGAGGAAGAGGAGGAGAGAATCCGGCAGACGCTTAGCCATTCCACACTCATTATAAACTTCTGCACCAGCAAGTCACCGTGCCTGCATTCACCCTGCTGTGAATCACACTGTAGATGACGCGGGTGACAATGGTCCAATTGTCGCGTGAGCTTTGTTGCCCACCTAAGACGTCCAGGTGTTACGGGAGATACGTACTTCCGTGAATCAAACGCATCTCCTGGTTTATGGGCATGGTCCTTCAGTACCATCCCATGCTCCTCTTCTGTCTGAGCAGATAGGCACTGCAAAAACCACATCGAGAAGCGAGCTAATTCAGGTGAGGTGATGCAGCGTGTGTGCTCCGTCAGTACGATGTGGTTATGTAGCCGCACCTGATGGACACAATACTGTTGACTTTCTCAATTATGTTGAGTTGGTGTGAATTGGTGGCACGGTGTTGCTGTGCGTTGCCGTGTGTTTCCTGTTGACAGCCTTGTTTCTTTGTTGCTGTGCCTATCTTCTTCGGCCCAAATGCAGGTGCTCATTCTTGACTTTCGGCCTGTCGTCTCCTTCAAACTTTCAAGTTGGAAGTTTTGGGGTTAGGATTTGGGGCTGCGGTTAGGGTAAGGGTTGGGATTGGGGTTAGGGTTAGAGGTTGGGGCAACTATTTCTCAACCACTCGAAGTACAACCGCGCATTCCAATCGCTTTCCTTGTCGTACAATTACTTGACCACGTTGCCTGTGTGTTCCCCGGCCCAACCTGTAAATAATCCTACTACCCTCGGTCCCGTATTACAGGTGACTGGGATCTGTTTACCTCAGGTGCGGCTAGATATGACCATCTGCCTTATTACCGGACGGATTAAGGAACCGACATCTGACGAACAGATCAACGCCGTCTTTCCAGACATACAATTTCGGACGGAGAAGGAATAGAACGAGCACTGAACCAGGGAAGTAAAGATGAGGCGTCAATTACTGAGAGCGAAGGACACACTGGCACGACAGGGAATGACTGAAGTCATTTGCTGAGACTGGTGCAGGCGTGGGCAAAACAACTACGTCAGGACAAGTAGAGTACTCGTTACGCGAATGGCCAAGCACGCAGCAGCATTGGGGAGGGATGACGCCGGCCCACATGTCACAGCTTATCCGACCATACATAAACGCCCTTCACGTGTCATTGTTGGCATCTCCTTCTGCGTCACCGCCAGAAATGACGTTTGCGCCTTCATTATTGTCGTCCATTCCCTCCGGAACACATTCCGAACCTTGAGGCAATGTGATCAACAGATTGTGAACCACCAGCCGCGCTTGATTGGTCCATAGATGAATTGGATAGCTTGACGGTCAGAGCCTCCATCAGCTTCAGCTGCTGCTGCAACATCTGCTTCAAGTCTGCGTACGCGGGCATTGCTAATCGTGAGTGTGGGCGTTTCCAACTCGGTTCTCTCACTGAAGACCAGTTTAAATGCCTTATATTTATCTGCGGCCTCCAGTCCCCCAAGGATGCTGATATACGGACACGTATCCTGTCCAAAGTGCAGCAGAACAACCCCACCACACTCCAAGAGCTGGCAGCAGAGTGCCAAACGCTGATCAATCTCAAGCACTACTCTGCAATGATTCAGAACCCGGCCTCATCTTTTTCAGTCCATACGGTCACATCGACCAAATCGCATCCTGTTACACGGCCCAAGCAAGTGTCCAAGTCGAGATCTCCGCCATCTCCTTGTCGGCACTGTGGCGCGTGGCATTTCCACCGGGATTGCACTTTCCGCCAGCATCGCTGCCAAAGCTGTAATCAGGTGGGACACCGTGATGGGTTCTGCAAATCATTACCAGCTTCTGGAGGCAAGCCAGCCCCCGCCACTTCTAATTCCAGGCACCGTTTCCGGCCAAAACGCAAGCCCAAACCCCAGTCCGTGGGTAATTCTCTCAGTCTTTTGGCCGCTTTCCAACTCAATGCGTCTGGTCGTAGAAAGTTTGTTGATGTCTTGCTCAATGGCCATACAGTTCGTCTACAGTTGGACACTGCCTCAGATATCACCATCATCTCTGAGAGACTCTGGCAGTCCCTTGGCAGTCCCACGATGCAGCCGACTTCCCAGTCCGCCACAAGCGTGTGCGGTGGTCTCGTACAGCTAATTCGGCAGCTGCAATGCTGTGTGTCGTTCCGCGGTACCAGCATCACTGCGATCTGCTACATCACCAAGTCTGATCTAAACCTACTTGGTCTCGACTGGATTGAACAACTTGGGTTGGCCGATATGCCGCTCCGCGTTGTTTGCAGTCAGGTGCAGATTCCCGCTGTGCTTCCAGACCAAGCCAAGGACATTCTCCAACGCTTTGCTCCGGTGTTCCAAGACGGCCTGGGTCGTTGCGCATACACTCAAGCCGTGCTACATCTGTCTGCTGGAAGTCAACCAGTCTACCGTCCAAAGCGACCAGTCCCATATGCAGCCCTACCACTTGTCGAGGCTGAACTGAAGCGTCTAGAGGAATTGGGAGTCCTGGTTCCTGTATCCTACTCCGCCTGGGCCGCTCCAATCGTTGTGGTTAAGAAGCCCAATGGCTCGGTCCGCATTTGTGCTGACTTCTCCACCGGTCTCAATGCCGCACTGACGCCGAACTGCTATCCATTACCGGTTCCGGCTGATCTTTTCACCCTGCTAAATGGTGGCACTTGCTTTGCCAAGTTGGATCTCGCTGATGCGTATCTGCAGATCGAGGTCGCCCCAGAGTCGCGCGAATTGTTGACCATCAATACCCACCGCGGTCTGTTCCAATGCACCAGGCTGCCCTTTGGTGTCAAGACCGCCCCGGCCCTATTTCAACAAACGATGAACGCAATGCTCTCCGGCATCCCTGGCACAGCTGGGTACCTGGACGACATCATCATCGTGGGTCGCTCCCCTGCCGAGCTGCAAGACCGAGTGTGCGCAGTACTCGAACGCGTGCAGGAATATGGCTTTCGCCTACGGGCCGACAACTGCCAATTCTTCCTCGACTCCATCAAGTACCTTGGATTTGTTTTTGACGTCAATGGTCGCCATCCAGATCCTGAAAACATTCGGGCCATCCAGCAGATGCCTGCCCCCAAGAATGTATCGCAACTTCGTTCGTTCCTTGGCCTGATCAGCTACTATAGCGCCTTCCTACCATCGCTGCATGACGTACGGGCCCCGCTCAACCGTCTGTTGGAGAAGGATGCTTCTTGGTGCTGGTCCCCCGACTGTGAAAAGGCCTTCGCCTAGCTCAAGTCGATGCTGAGTTCAGATCTGCTGCTCACGCACTACGACCCGACGCTGCCGATCGTTGTTGCTGCAGATGCTTCCAACCACGGAGTTGGTGCCGTCATCTCACCTGCGTCGCCAATTTGTTATGACCCGCCTGGTACGTGATGAAATCATCGGAATCTCGTTTACACAGTTTCAAGCACTGAAATCGAGTGTTGAAGAGGGACGATTGCTCACCAGAAAACTGCGTACAAAGTTTCATGCCCTAGTCCCTACCGGTGCGCAGCCCACGCAGACTTCTCCAGTTTCTCGCAACAAGCTCTCCATCGGAACACCTGTCTTCGTTCGTGATTATCGAGCGGGGTTCCCAGACTGGATTGAAGCAACCGTAGTATCGCACAGAGGCAGTATGCTGTTTGACGTCGACGTTGGTAATGACATCTGGGTTCGCCACCACAACCAGATCCGACGGCGACATTGCAGTAACACAACTGGGCTCGATTCGGCGCCGTTACTCTCTCTTGACATTCTACTGGATACCTTCGCCATTCCGGCAGATCGGTCGGTTCCCGAACCCACTGCTGCGCCTCCTTCGGATGTACCGCTTTCGGTATCAGTCACTGCCCCCGGGTCTCCAGGCTACAAACCACAACTAAGACGCCGGACCAACCGCGTGCGCCGATCAACACTGCCGATGCAGATCAATCCACGCCAAAAGCGGTACTGACCCACTTGGAGGGGAGGTGTTGGGAGTGCCTACACTCCCAAAAACAAGAGCAAACCAAGCAATGGAGATCACGTGCGTTTGCTCTCTCTCTACCGCGCTGTCATCTCAATCAGGCGCTTTCCCATTGGCTACTCCCCTCTTCCCGAAGGTTATTGGCCGAATGCCGGCGAACCACGCTAGCGTGTGATAAATATGCGTCACCCTTAGCTAGACGTGACTTGCATTGTTTTGCTAATACACGTTCCGTGGCCAGCCGTGTGTTCTTTGTCTACTGCCTTGATATTGGGGACCAGGGTCGAGTGCGTATAAGCTCCACGGGATTTCAAGTACCAGGCGAGTCATAACACTTTCACAGTTTTGTTCCCCCCAACATCAAACGAAATCTAGTCCAGGGATTGGCAGCTAGAGTGCGACGTATCTGCTCTCCTGAGACTGTGGAGGCAGAACTCCAGCAGCTGCGGGATACACTCCACGAAAACGGATATCCAGAAAGATTTATCCTTCGAAATATAGGGGAGCGCACTGCAAAACCTACCATGGCAACTGCAGAAAAGAAGGACTTATTTATAAGATTGCCTTTTCAAGGAGACGCAGCAAGTGAACTGGTAAAAAGACGTCTGTAGACAGCGATCACTAGCGCTTTCCCCGCCGCGAACTTACGTGTGTGTTTCACTAACTCTCCCCTCCTACGCTTGGGAGGTAAAGACCGACTCCCGTTGCAGGCCACATCAATGTGCATTTATTCATTCACTTGCTCCTGTGGAGCGGGCTACATCGGCCGTACAACGAGGCGTTTGGAAAAGAGAGTACGTGAACACATACCGGCCTGGCTAGGCAAAGGTGAAAAGAAATCGATCTCGAGTTCTATTCTCGCACATCTTGTCGATACGAATCACCGAGTCGATGCCAAAGAAGCCTTTCAGATTGTCTACCGGACACCAGCAGGCTTCTCCAAAGGCCTACGCCAACGGGTGCTAGCTACAGCTGAGGCAGTGGCTATACGGCTAGCCAATCCAGTGCTATGCTGTCAGAAGACTCTGACACAGGCGCTCTGTCTTCCGTGGCCGACGCCGACCCCAACGTCGCTCCAACCTTCTGATGCCAGGGTGGGTGCACAAGGTACACGACGCACTCACAGCCTATGCCCCCCTCCTCCTCGCCCCTTGAACCCAATTACCACGACACGCCGACCACGCCATAGCACGCCTCGTCATGCGAGTGGCGTGGGAACGATCGATGTTAACTGTCCCCGAATCATTTATAAGTCATGTAATTCGCATAGCTTAAACTTCATTGTAACCGTTTGGGCCTGATGAAGAGTTACTGAAAACACGTGTTCGCCAATTTGACTTTTCAAAAGACCAGATGCTGTGAGTTCATGGGTGAGATCGGTACGAATCTGCTCCTGCGGAGGACAGCTGAACAAGGCCGAGAACAGAGCATGATACGCGACGCAGCACTGGAGAACAAATTTCGAAAGCTGCCCAATCCAACGTCGCCCAGAAACGACATACGGGTGGAGTGGCGCTATTTTTAGATGTAAATCATGCCCGTTGCCACCCTTAATAGTCACACGACCTTCAGGTTTTGTACTTTCTGGAGGGTGGAGTGCAGCTATGCTTGGGTGTAATTCAAGCCTGTTTCCACCCCTAATGTTCATACGACCTCCAGGTATTACAGTTTCTGGTGAGTGGAGTGAAGATATGCCCCGGTAACAATCAGGCTAGTTTCTACTTTCATGGTCATACGACCTCCGGGTTTGTGTACTGTTGGCAGAAGTGTTCGATGCTGATTCTAGAGGTATTACAGGAATAATTGTTTCTTGGGCGCAGAGTTCTGGCAGAAGGCGGAAATTGTAGCAAAGGCTCGTTCGCCGAAAAGTCAGAACGAAACCGAAGGAAGTATATTGAATCACAAAGCGATGTGATTTCAGTAGATGTCTGGATTTGTAGTCAATGGGTATGCAAGTAAGGGACCCGTTGTTAAATTACCTAGCTGGATTTTGACTGAGGTTCGTGTGTGAAGGCGATTGGCAGTGATAAGGTGAGAGTGGCCTAGTTCAAATATAGAAGGTTGAGAGTCGTCCGATGAGAAGGCGGATTAAATGGAGCATAAGTGAGAGGATGAAACAGAGTGGTGATGATATGTTTGAGCATAATGTGCGTGTATGTGTGTGGTGGTGGATGCACCAGACCAGCACCGGGGACAGATATGAAAAATGCAGGTTGTGGTTTGGAAGGTTGACAACCTACAGGGCAAATCATAACACCCAGTCCACCCTGTGTGTGTGTGTGTGTGTGTGTGTGTGTGTGTGTGTGTGTGTGTGTGTGTGTGTGTGTGTTCACGCAGTTCGTCATGTTGTGTGTGTGTTGTGTGGAGTGGCGGACTGGTGGGCTGAGGACGGGCTGCAACAGCACCATCCACGGCACTCTCACGCAAGTAAGAGACACGCCGTCCAACCCCCGTTGTGTGAAATCCTGGTGTTTGTGTGTATGGGGGGCCAGGTCGTGCTGTGGCGCGCGCAGGCATGGTCAGTCGACCATGTCAGCCACCGCGCCCATTCCCCACTCCAGTCTACTGACCGGCTCGGACTGTGGCTGGGGTGTGGGAATGGGAAGGGAGAGTGAGGTCGACGACTCAGCGCATTTTCCTCACTAAAATCAATCTGACGCGCTTGAAGCTATCACGGTGCGCTAAAAGCCGTGGCTTGGAAGGTTGCCAACTGACGGGGTACCTTGGACCTCCTCCTTAACGGGAGGCGGTCTGAGAATCAGGCTGCAATGGCTCCTTTTTATGTGGCCTTTATGGCATTCCCACCACAGTGTGGGATCCGAGCCAGGCGTTGGCGGCACGCCCAGGTGCGGCTTCGGCCGTGCCAGCCTCCAAATCTCTGTTGTGTTGGTTGAAATCCTGGTTATTGTTGTGTGGAACAACGGGGGGTGTGGTGGAACGCCAAGGTGAGGATCCGTCCGAGCCATCCACCTGCGGCCTCCCTCGTCTCCGGTCTTCTTGACTCTGTCTTGACACCGGGTCCAGGCGGGGGAGGAGGAGAGAGTGTAGGTAGATGCAGCGCAAG